TAACATATCTTGTGTTTATTGTGTGCTGACAAAAAAATATTTCTGTTGTCAAGTGCAATTATGGAAATTGGCTTTTGTTTTTAAAATCAGTCAAAAACAGTTAAAAACAAAACAAACACAATTAACAAAAGATATTTTCTTGTGTTTAATTATGGAAATTGACAAAAGATATTTTCTGTTGTCAAAAACAAACACAAATGCAATTTATGGAAAAAGATTTTTCTGGCTTTTGTTGTTTACAAAAAGTCAAATCAGTTAAAAAAAAAACAAACACAATTAACATATCTTGTGTTTATTGTGTGCTGACAAAAGATATTTTCTGTTGTCAAGTGCAATTATGGAAATTGGCTTTTTGTGTTTACAAAAGTCAAATCAGTTAAAAACAAAACAAACAATTAATTATCTTGTGTATTGTGTGCTTGTATTTTCTGTTTATTGTGTTGCTGACAAAAGATATTTTCTGTTGTCAAAATGCAATTATGGAAATTGGCTTTTGTGTTTACAAAAGTCAAATCAGTTAAAAAAAACAAAACAAACACAATTAACATATCTTGTGTTTTATTGTGTGCTGACAAAAAATATTTTCTGTTGTCAAAAATTATGGAAATTGGCTTTTGTGTTTACAAAAGTCAAATCAGTTAAAAAAACAAAACAAACACAATTAATATATCTTGTGTTTATTGTGTGCTGACAAAAAATATTTTCTGTTGTCAAAGTGCAATTATGGAAATTGGCTTTTGTGTTTTACAAAAGTCAAATCAGTTAAAAACAAAACAAACACAATTAACATATCTTGTGTTTATTGTGTGCTGACAAAAAATATTTTCTGTTGTCAAGTGCAATTATGGAAATTGGCTTTTGTGTTTACAAAAGTCAAATCAGTTAAAAAACAAAACAAACACAATTAACATATCTTGTGTTTACAAAAAAGATATTTTCTGTTGTCAAGTGCAATTATGGAAATTGGCTTTTGTGTTTATCAGTTAAAAAACAAAACAAACACAATTAACATATCTTGTGTTTATTGTATGCTGACAAAAGATATTTTCTGTTGTCAAGTGCAATTATGGAAATTGGCTTTTGTGTTTACAAAAGTCAAATCAGTTAAAAAAAAAACAAACACAATTAACATATCTTGTGTTTATTGTGTGCTGACAAAAAATATTTTCTGTTGTCAAGGCGCAATTATGGAAATTGGCTTTTGTGTTTACAAAAGTCAAATCAGTTAAAAAACAAAACAAACACAATTAACATATCTTGTGTTTATTGTGTGCTGACAAAAGATATTTTCTGTTGTCAAGTGCAATTATGGAAATTGGCTTTTGTGTTTACAAAAAGTCAAATCAGTTAAAAAAAAACAAAACAAACATAATTAACATATTTTCTTTGTCATTTATTTTTGTTTTACAAAAATCAAATCAGTTAAAAAAAACAAAACAAACACAATTAACATATCTTGTGTTTAAAAGATATTTTCTGTTGTCAAGTGCAATTATGGAAATTGGCTTTTGTGTTTACAAAAGTCAAATCAGTTAAAAACAAAACAAACACAATTAACATATCTTGTGTTTATTGTCAAAAGATATTTTCTGTTGTCAAGTGCAATTATGGAAATTGGCTTTTTGTGTTTACTCAAATCAGTTAAAAACAAAACAAACACAATTAACATATCTTGTGTTTATTGTGTGCTGACAAAAGATATTTTCTGTTGTCAAGTGCAATTATGGAAATTGGCTTTTTACAAAGTCAAATCAGTTAAAACAAAACAAACACAATTAACATGTTTACAAATATTTTCTGTTGTCAATCAATTATGTTAAAAAAAAAAAAAAAAAACACAAATTAACATATCTTGTGTTTATTGTTGTGCTGACAAAAGATATTTTCTGTTGTCAAGTGCAATTATGGAAATTGGCTTTTGTGTTTACAAAAAGTCAAATCAGTTAAAAAACAAAAACAAACACAATTAACATATCTTGTGTTTATTGTGTGCTGACAAAAATATTTTCTGTTGTCAAATTGGCTTTGTGTTTACAATTATGGAAATTGGCTTTTGTGTTTATTGTGTGCTGACAAAAATATTTTCTGTTGTCAAATCAATTATGTTAAAAAAATCAAAAACAAACACAATTAACATATCTTGTGTTTATTGTGTGCTGACAAAAAGATATTTTCTGTTGTCAAGTGCAATTATGGAAATTGGCTTTTGTGTTTACAAAAGTCAAATCAGTTAAAAAACAAAACAAACACAATTAACATATCTTGTGTTTATTGTGTGCTGACAAAAGATATTTTCTGTTGTCAAGTGCAATTATGGAAATTGGCTTTTGTGTTTACAAAAGTCAAATCAGTTAAAAACAAAACAAACACAATTAACATATCTTGTGTTTATTGTGTGCTGACAAAAAGATATTTTCTGTTGTCAAGTGCAATTATGAAATTGGCTTTTGTGTTTACAAAAGTCAAATCAGTTAAAAAAAAAAACAAACACAATTAACATATCTTGTGTTTATTGTGTGCTGACAAAAAATATTTTCTGTTGTCAAGTGCAATTATGGAAATTGGCTTTTGTGTTTACAAAAGTCAAATCAGTTAAAAAAAACAAAACAAACACAATTAACATATCTTGTGTTTATTTTGTGTTTACTGACAAAAGATATTTTCTGTTGTCAAAAGTGTCAATTATGGAAATTGGCTTTTGTTTTACAAAAGTCAAATCAGTTAAAAAACAAAACAAACACAATTAACATATCTTGTGTTTATTGTGTGCTGACAAAAAGATATTTTCTGTTGTCAAGTGCAATTATGGAAATTGGCTTTTGTGTTTACAAAAGTCAAATCAGTTAAAAAACAAAACAAACACAATTAACATATCTTGTGTTTATTGTGTGCTGACAAAAAAGATATTTTCTGTTGTCAAGTGCAATTATGGAAATTGGCTTTGTGCATTGGCTTTTGTGTTTACAAAAGTCAAATCAGTTAAAAACAAAACAAACACAATTAACATATCTTGTGTTTATTGTGTGCTGACAAAAGATATTTTCTGTTGTTTGAAATTGGCTTTTGTGTTACAAAAAAATCAGTTAAAAACAAAACAAACACAATTAACATATCTTGTGTTTATTGTGTGACAAAAGATATTTTCTGTTGTCAAGTGCAATTATGGAAATTGGCTTTTGTGTTTACAAAAGTCAAATCAGTTAAAAACAAAAACAAACAAACACAATTAACATATCTTGTGTTTTGTGTGCTGACAAAGATATTTTCTGTTGTCAAGTGCAATTATGGAAATTGGCTTTTGTGTTTACAAAAGTCAAATCAGTTAAAAACAAAACAAACACAATTAACATATCTTGTGTTTATTGTGTCCTGACAAAAAATCAGATATTTTCTGTTGTCAAGTGCAATTATGGAAATTGGCTTTTGTGTTTACAAAAGTCAAATCAGTTAAAAACAAAACAAACACAATTCATTGCTTCTCAATTCACTTTCTAGTTTCCATAGGTTCAAAGAATTTATGCAGTCCTTATGGGTGATAAATTATTTTCAACCTTTTCCCTTTGTCAAACTATCACTAACTCTATTACAGGATGTAGATGTTCAAACAGACTTTCATTCCTTAATCCACCAGTTCAGACCTTTACAAAAGGACCCACCAGGTAAAATTATTCCCCCTTGTATCCATTGGTGAAGAGAAGTCCCATATCTTCTTGAGAACCATTACTTTGTGGAACAAGCACCTGACAGGATGCTCCCCCAATCACCACAATCTTAACTTCTTCAAATCAACAGTTAAGCATTATCTATCCTACATATCCTCATGAACTGCAAATTGGCTAATCAACAGTTACAAAACAAACACAATAATCCTCTAAATTGAGTGGCTCTTGAGCCTTGTACTGTGTGAACCTTTACTTAAAAAAGATTTACAAATAAAGTGTTCATTTCATACAAGAAGCAGGAGAAAAGTAATTCTGACTGTGGCCTGAATATCATAATTATTGCTTTTGCATTAAAGCATCAGGAATCTGTTAAATTACAGAATGGGTCCTTATTCAATTATCCAGCCTCTTCATTCATTTCCCAGAAGGCATCAGAAATCCAACCAATCTTGGCGGCCAATCTTACTAGAGTGATAAAGAACATTATCACACTCCTGTTATTCCTGCATCATTCCACCCATAAAAAAAAAAAATACAAAACAAACAAGAGATCAGGACTTGCGCCATTCTCAGCACAATTATTTTCCACTGATTTAGCTTCTTTTCTTTCCAACATTATTTTTGTTTTTAAAGAAAGAAAAAATTAAGATTTAGCCCAAACAAATCACCAGTTTCAGTTTAGAATCATCAATCAATTTGACAGGATCTCTGAAAAGGGAACTCTCATTGATTGAGACTCCTATTAATTTACACTTGAGGTTTGTAACTTAAAAATAAAACTATTGCTATTTTTTAATGAATATTAATTTTTTTGCAGGGACTGCTGCAAACTACCCATCAAAAATGCTAAAGCAGCTGGCATTATTTTAAAAATATCTCTAAAATAAAAATGACCCAAACATTAAATCTTTATTGTTTATAACTAATTTTTACCTGGATGAGCAAAATTATAATCCTTAAGGCCAAGACAAGCTTCAAGAAAGAGAAGAGTTTTAATTTTATAGATAACATTCTTTTTTTTTTTTAAGCTGATTGTATTCAGAACTATTTACAACAAAAATAAATCTCGATGCTGATCAGAGAGCTCAAAATCTCAAGTAACTCCTATTTTCCCTTAAACCTCATTTCAAAATTACTTTCAGTGAAACAATTATATTCTATAATCAATAAAGATTAAATGTCAACTAAAATATAGTCACTTTCTTGTATTGATTTTCAAACAATTTTCTCATAGTTTGTCCAATACTTATAAGAAATAATGAAAAACAACCTTTTTATCTATTAGCCACAAGATTTTAAATATAACATGTAGATAATATTTTATGCAATCTGAATTGTTCATGCTGGTAAAAAGAAAATAGAAAAAAAATCGTTCTCACCATTTTCAGTCTGGTGGCAGTCAATAAAACCATCTGTATTAATAGCATTCTTGATCAGCTCAACAATAGTAAGATCTAAAATATCAGAGAAACAAAGTTCAATATCAATTGACAACATCTAAGTTATTTTTGTTTTATATACTCCAATTCTTTAAACTAAATTTTTTATGATTTTGCTTAGTAACAATTTTTATATTATTCTCAAATATATCACAAATGTAAATTCACATACAAATTTAAACAGACCTGAGCTTCAGGCTATTTTATCAGATTTTTAAAAAATCCAAAACAAAAATTGTAAACTTTTACAACTACAAATGATGGATGTGCAAGAACAGGGTTTTACATTTTTTTCTTTTTATTAAATAATTTAACCAAGATACAAATGAAAAACAGTGAAAAATTTTTTTTTTTAAAGCTAATATTTATGACCAAGTTATTTTCACGTTCTAAAATTGAACAAAGTCAAAAAGTATTAATTATATTAACAACAAATTATGGAAGGTAAATATATATATATATATTATATATATATATATATATATATACACACACACACATAAATATTATACACATGATTATCTGTATACACACGAGTGGCTCCAAAAGATTTTACAATTGTTATTGGCCCATAGAAATTCTTTTATCAAAAAAAGAAAATGTCCTTACGTTTAGCTACGGCTTGTCGAACTGCTGTTAAATGTGGCAATTTCGATACAAACTGTTTCAGTTCACCCACAGTGTTGGCAGAATGTCGTTCCTAGGATGAAAAAGTCAAAGATTTGTTGATTTAAACAATAGAATCATCTAGAGTTAGATTCACACCTAAACTTTTCATTTTATAGATTTAACAAATATGTATTCAATGAAAAACATTTCTGAAAATGATTTCAAATCTTTTTAGAATTGGAATGAAGAACTTGTATGTTTATTTTTTTTTTTTTTAAAAACTCTCACTCCAAAAACTTTAATTCATTTCAAAAGTATATTTTGCAGTTTTAATTTAAAATTTTATTAATTATATAAAATAATATCAATAGAAAAATATTAATTATAATATAGATTCTAATATACAATATGTAAAATTCTATCCGTACAAAATTGTCTAAATTTCTTAAATTTTAACTAATTTGCCTTTCAACCTGCTTTTTATTGCAATATTCAATGTTTACATTCTACAATATACTAAAACAAAGGCACCTCCAACAATGAGAAAAAGCAATAAAGAAACAAAAGTTAAATAATTGATACTAAACAATGTATAAGCCTTTAAATCTTTAGGTTAATTGAGCAATTGTAAATTTTACAGATACAAAAACCAATCACAAGTGAGAAACAAGTTGCTTTGCTTTCTTTTAACCAATGAGCTTTTCCCTAAATTTACAGTTAAATAGATCTTTACACTTTCAATTAAAACATCAATTACTCCCTTAATAAAATGTCGAAAGCTAAACATTGAAGAATTAACAATTGATGTTTACTGAGGTATTTGAGTAGAGCTCAGAAAATATTAAATTTATTTTGTTTTCTATCAATTCATTTTGTTATATGATTTTATTTTTACAATCCTAGGACAATAGGTTAAAGAAAGATTTAAAGAATGAATCATTTACATCAAATTCAGCTGATAACAATTTCAGCTTCTTGCACACCAGAGCATTGACAGCATCAATGTTCTTGTCTCGAAGATCTGCAAATAATTCATCTGAAGAATTGAGAACAATGTTTTTTGGTTCTTGGGCTGCATCAGGCATAGCTTCTCTTTGCTGCTGTTCTTTGGTCATAAATTTTTCAGCTGGAAGTTTCACATTGGCTGCAGTCATAAAAATGCCAGAGTTAAAATTGAAGGTAGGCAACAAAAAATGATTTTAAAATAAAGTATGATAAAGAAAATAATGATGTCAAAATGTACCAGATGTTCAACTCTAAGTGAGTTTATACAGCTTTTCTTCAGCATCTTACTAACATTATTGGTTTTATTTTACTCAAATTAAGTATTTTCATTATTCTATACCTTTATTTAACATTTTTAGTGGGTACTCATATCTGAGTAGATGCTCTATTTATTTATTTATTAAATAGTATATTTATTTTTTTCTACCTGCCTGAATATTTGAGAAAACTCATTAAAGAAAAAATATGTGCATGGCCATGAAGAAGCTTTGCCAATCACACAAGTTCTAAATAGTGCCTTTAAGTGAAATCCTTCTTGTCATAGATTCCTCAAAATTATTATATCGGCTTAGTTTTGTATGCAGTCGATTAAAGTATATCAGATCTAACAGCAATTTCACTCTGCCCAGTGGGATGCAGGTTTGAATCCTGCAAGAGAGCACATATTTTTCTTTAATAAGATTTCTTGAATATTCAGGCTGGTAGATGAAAATAAATAAACGGAGCAACTACACAAATATGGGTATCCACAAAAAAATAATGTTTAAAGTGATTAAAATCTGTTGAATTAATAAATAAAAAAAATCCATTACTTTAGAAAATTATTTCTATTAAACTAACATCTTCATCTTAGTTATTTTTACTACATAATTTTATCTGATATATTCTTTGACTGCCCTTAAGTGAACAATGATTTCATTAAGCAGTCCTGAAAATCTATTTTGTCTTTTCCTCAACATGTGCATCATAGTTTAACAAAAGTTAATGAATGACCTGGAGTTTTCTGGTTTAAAAAAAAAAAAAAAATTTTTAAAGTTCACTGACTGCAAACAAGAAAGAATATATTGACCGAAGCAGCATTTGTCATCTTTAATCATTTTACATGAAAGTTAATATAAACAATAGGATACGCTTTTGATCCAGTCGAAAATGAAGCACAAGGGAGATAATTGTATAGAGGGAATTATTCAAAATTATAACTACCCAAAACAAGGGAAAATGGCTTTGTTTTATTTTATTTTTAACCAATATTGTATGGATAACTTTAAAATTTCTAAATTTAAAAAAAAAAAAAAAAAAATCAACCTATTTATCACAGAAAACAAAAAGACAAACAAAGAACTTAAATAAAAAGTTGATATTTACTAACTATTTCTTGTAATGGGAAAATGTTTCACTCCTGATGACTTGTCGCTTTATGTAATACAGGTTATCCCAAGAACAAATAAACTACTTTCTTTTACAAGGAAAGGAAGTTATTCCCTTTGTTTCTTGTAAAGATTGTCTCCTTTGATCCACTTCTGAAAAATGATCTTGTCTTGAATAATTTACAATACAATAGACCACCAAACATTCTATAACCAATATTGATTTAATCTTTTGGTCTGGGTAAAATTATCAGAATGCAAGTGGAATCTTTTCAAATACTAGTTTATAGGTACACCTCCAAAATTCTGGATGACCGTAGCAGCTGATCTCTCCTCTGACCTAACCCTGGTGGCTCAACAGGAGGATGGACTGGCTTGCAAAATTCAATACAACCAAAACCAAACTAGTAACATTCCTCCACCACCAACAAGCAGACCCCACTTTCATCTATCATGATGGATGGGTCTTCTTTCAATGAAGTTTCTTGCCTTGAACGATTATTGAGTCTCAAACTCTCCTCAGACCTCAAGTTGAACTCATATCTGATCTATTGTTAAAGATGCCAGAAAAAAAAAAAAAATAAAAATAAAAAAATAAAAAAAACACACACACACAAAAAATATAATGGTTGGTTCCTTGTACTGCAGCAAGTATCTAACTCCCTTTGCTATGTTTTATGTTTACAAAACCAAAAATGGAGCATTGCTGCCATATCTGGGCTGGAGATGCCTAGTCTTAAGAGAGTTCAAAAGTGTCTATGCAGCCTTGTGGGTAATGAATTATTTCCTACCCTACAACCCATTTCCCACATACAAAATGTGACAAGCCTTTCGCTATTTCCATAGCAAGTGTTCTGAGCAGCTACATTCTTTGGTTCCACCAACCCTGACCTATGCAGCTGGAACCTGCCATGCCACATTCACATGGATGAATCATCCTCATTTCCCTTTGTATTCCATTAATAAGAAGTAAGTTCCAATCGGACCGCTTCCTGAGAACTGCTGCTTTGTGGAACAGACTCCCAGCAGGACGTTTGTTCTGATCATTGCAATTTTGACCTCTTCAAGGCTAGGTTTAACTGTTATCTTTTCTACATAACCTCATGAACTACACTTTTTGCCTTTTCTTATGCTCATACAACACCACACAGTAACCCTCTATCTTGAGAGGTTCTTGGACATTCTATGGGGTAAACATTAGTACATATGGGGTAAACATTAGTACAAAAATGTTAAGATCAAACATCTTGTTCTTAATGGTGTCAAATGTATTTCCTATTTAATCCTGGAAATGTTATAAAATATTTTTTTTAAGAGTCTGATGTCAAGCCACAATTGTAGAATGCTGATATAACAGAAATTTAAATTATTGTGTCATGACTAAATTGCAAAGCATGATTTAGTTTGGCCAGACAACATACACAGCGTACAGATATCTAGCAACATCTCATTCTTATTTAGTATGGTTTAGTTATTGCTTGCCCTCCTTCCAATGAGTTTACATCTACACTACCTGGTCAAGGGATTGATATCACAATGTCCACAAACCAATGGGACACAAAAAAGACAATCAGCTAAATGTAGAAATGGAGTTAATTATTTCCTCTTTCTATCAACATTTTATCTGAAATAAATAATTTTTTCCACTCCTAAAAATCAACAATTGGTTATCAGTTTATATGCTTCTATTCTCCTTCACTTCATGCCCCCTCCCCCTCTATATAAGACAAGAGGATACTTACTGCAACTGATGTTAAATATTTCATCAATGAGTCCCTCATAAGTTAACTGTGAAAGCATTGGAGTCAGCAGATCAACATTACGATCAATAACAAGTAGGTTGTCAATTTGTGGAGTCAACTGTGGCTCCCTGCCACCAAGTTCTCTACGCATACGCAACATCATGTCAATTAGATGCTGAAAAGAAAATTTTAAGAAGTTTATTAATGTTTTTTTCTTTTTAACTAGACTCCAGTAAATTTTGTCTCCCACACACACATTATATATATATATATATATATATATATATATATATGAAACCTTAACTGATAAAAAAAAAAAAAAAAAAAAACAAACATTAATTCGATGACTGAATCAAAGCAGTTTCAGATCTAAAAAAGAAAGATTTCAGTCTTTATCAAAATGAATTTTGCATTAATTGCAAAAGCCAAATAGTTGCTTTCCTTAAAAGAAAAGAAAAAAAACATTCTAGTGATAAAATTCTGAAGATTAGTATCCTGTTTCTTGGATCATTCTGTTTTTGTTTTTTTTTAATTGGTATCACTCCATGCAAGGTAGTAAAGCCACTAAGACACAAGGTGTGGAAGAATTAGGAACAGAAACATTAATAATGAGCCAGAAGAGGAAAGAGTAATTAAGAGGACAGTAGATAACAATTGACTTTGCATTTAAATTAAAGATTTACCTTTTTAAATGTTTATAAATATTGCATGTTATTTATATCAACCTTATTTTTGAAAATCTCATCTTGTGTGGTAGATAAAAGTCTAGACACTAACAAATAACACTGATGTTTTTTCTAGTTAGATACAAAATGTACAACAATATTTTGCTAAAAGTGCAATGGTCTATCAACCAGAAGTGAGTAATTTTTGGCAAAAATTTGCTTCCTTACCTTTGCACAGTCACCTTTCCCATAGAGATTTGGAATGATCCCGTAAAGGCCTTGCAAAGTCATTAATGATCTTGCAGCATAGAATAGCGATGTGTAATCATTTTCCAAATAACATTCCTAAAAGTAATGAAAGCAAAAAACAAAATGTTAATCATAAACTCCATTTTATTACAAACATTGACAATGATGTGAGAAACATTAAATATATGTTTGTGCTTGTGTTGTTTTTATATATGTTGTGTTCAGTTCTTTTCAAAATAAATTATCCATTGCTAAAGGTTCTTTCTGGTCAAAAAGAATAATTTCAAATTTTACTCTTTCATGCAGACATTTTTTTGTTTAAAAATTATATTTTGGTAAAAGTCAATCTGATATTTACTAAATTCAAATAAAAGTAGAAAGATTGTATTAATATTTCATATGGGGAAAGCCTTGAAAAATCAACATTTGAAATTCTGGTTTTATCCTAAATGTGAAACTGGTGACAAATATACAACTATGCCAGCCACCAAGCAAATCTAAAAAAATAAGTAAAATACAAGGGTTGTTTTTTTTTTTTTTAAATTCACTTACTCTGAATGAAGAATCCATTTCCATTGAAAGAAGATCATAATCAAAAGGAATCAATTCCATATTAAATTCTTCAATATTTGTAAATGTACCATAGATACCCATTTCCTAAAATAAAAATTAAATTATGACAAATATTTCCTCAAATAAAGAAGAATTGTTTTTAAATATAGCTTAATGGTAAAGCAGATCAACAAAAACTTCAGTTAATGAAGAAAGTTCCGATTACAAACTAAGGCAACAAATGAATAGTTTACATTTTTATCAGGTGTTGTATCTGTAGTTTCAATCTATAGTAATACACATATGAGAGTGAACACACAGGCCAATGACATGTCTGTTTCATGCATAGCAGACCATAAAACTATATTTTTTATCATACTTTTTCTTACTATAAAGCTTATTTTTAGGGGGGTACATGTGTTTGACTTGCTATTCCTGAGTTTTTATTTTATTAAACAGTGAAATTAATAACAATTGGTCAAAATTGAGAAGTCCTACTAAAGAGAGATGGTGCCTCTGACAGGAATTGAACCTGTATCCCTTTTTTTTCATCAGAAAAAATACTTTGAGCCACAGTGTGCCTTGACCAATATGGCTAAAGAGCCAGCCTGACAGGGCAAGATTTGAATAAACCTTTTAACAAAAGGTAAGTTTCTCATTGAAACTTCCACAATTTTTTTTTTTTTTAAATGAGTTTTTTTATCTAGATTATTTCTTATTACTATAAATGTTATTTTTTTTTTTTTTTGAGGGGGGCTGTTTGAGTTGCAACCCGTTTTTTTCATTTTACTAAACAGTGAAGTTAATAACAATCAGCATATATATATATATATATAAAAAAAGAAAGAAAGAACAGTAAGATATATATAATCTGGTGTTCTTATTGATATTTTTTATTTATGCAAAAACAGTGCTCAATGTAAATTTACAGAGTATAAATATTATAAATTAACTGATTCAAAATATGGTTTCTTCGCTACACAGTAATAACCATGTTTCAAAAACTGAAACTAAAAACTTCAAATTTAATTATATAATTAAATTAAAACCATTAGTTCTGTTTCATCTTCAAGCGAATTTTGAAATAATTATTTTTAAATTTACTGAGTTTTAAACGCACATATAAATTCATAATTTCCTGTTTCCAAGGATACAGAGAAATCCAATCACTCAGACATGGGTGGTAGCATGTTCATTTTTATTAACTATTGTTGTATCAATTATGAGTTATGTTCGAAAAAGAGGTTAAGTTTAGGAAGGGTACGTGTGTATTTTTCAATGAATTCTGATATCCGTTAAACGCATGTTGTCTGTTTTTATATATATTACACACACGCATACATACATATGCATGCACGTGCTCACAGACACACAGGATGTATCATCAAAAATACTTTTACAAATTTTGGAGGTGGGTTCCTCACACCAAAACAAGGGCAAAAGTCCATATAAACAAAAGTCCGACAGCTGTAGAATGTATGAGCAGATCTTGGCCTTCCCCGATCCATAGTTTGTGGTGTCACAGATCCTGTCTCAGCAACAAGATGATAAACAGCAGCAAAGGTTAGATGACTGTTGCTTTCGGCCCAGAAACATAATCTGATACAGCCTCGCATCCATTACCATTCATGTGGCCATATGTAAAAATATCTGCATGATATGAATATACTGCCATTTTTAGACAGAATACTTCTCAGTTAACTCACTACTACACATTAAATGTTCAAGACAGAATAGCCACAAATGTACATGAATGACAAATGTAACCTAGTTTATATGACAACAATTTTAATTTAAATCAAAATGGAAAAAAATTTTTAGTTAGGGGTTTGTGCCATCTGGGGACCCCTTTGATTAAAATGAAATATGCTTATCCAAGTACCTTAGAAGTCATTCCCTTATTTAAATTTAATTTATATCAAAGGGAAAAATTTTTTTTATTGCGGTGTTTGTGTCCCCTGCCCCCCAGGTGCCCCTTTGATCAAAATGAAGTATACTTATCTAAGTACCCAGGGTAATGTAGTTTCAGAATATATATGGTTAGGGGGAGGAGTTTAATACCAAACAGACTTTTGACAAAAAGTAATATTTACCAAAGAAATTAAATTAATAAAAAAGTGTTAAATATGTATTGTTATCCCATATACATATGTGTGTGTGTTGATAACAATATATAAATTTTTAGATATCAAGAACAATTATGGAGGAAATATGTCTGACAAATTGGAAAAATTTTTTGCATAATGAAATGCCAAAACGTATCACAAAAACATATATATATATATATGGCTAGAAAGGTAATAGTGTTTTATACCCTTCAAAAATCTAACAATATGTATTTAACAGAACAAAACTGCTTTGGACATAAGATAAAAGTTAACTGAAATTCATTGCCTGAATTTCAATTAACTTGGCATGGAATTGTAGTTTATTTGTAATTAAATCTTTTCTCAAACCATTTTGCCCTTTGTCATTTAGATAATAAATATTGAGATTTTTTTTATATCTACCTTCAATTTTTTCTCACAAAGGAGACTTTTGCAAGGAACAAAAATGATGTTGAAATCTTTATGGTAGCCTCCTTTTTGTTTTTCTCTGTAAATAAAAATAACCTTCGTTTTAGTTTCAGAATCTCTAGAAATTATTGAGAGAGACTGAAAAGAAATTTATTTACTGTAAATAAAAAAAAATATATATATATATATATATATATATATATATATATATATATATATATATATATATATATATATATTATTAGTACAAAAAGTTAGAAACAAAAATATTTTAACATTTTTTAAGAACATTTATTTTCAAATTTAAAAAAAAAATATGTAATTGTAAATCTCATGAAAAATTGTGTAAAACTAAAGTTTGTTTCATACAAAAGCTCACCTTATGTTTTTCTTCTGACACAAAGCCTTCTTACTAATTATACATACACGTACCATCCATATCATGTGTTGATTTCTTTTTTCAGAAGTTTTATTACAAATTATGAAGCTATAATTTCTTTTTATGTTTCTCTCAATATTAAGAATTTACAAAGGTTAGATGCAGAATGAAGTCAGCTACTTACTTTAGTATAGAAAATAAACAAAATGAAAGTTTTTTTTTTTCTTCATTCCAAAATCTGAAAATTCATTCCTAATTTAGTTCCATATGTTTCAGATGGTTTCTACTTAATTATGAAATTACACATAAGAATTCAGTTTAATATTAATGTTATCTCTTTTTATATCATATTTAAAAGTTTGCATTTGTATACAAATAGGAAAATAATTCTGAATTTTTGAGATGGACTATTATTATGATGCACCGATTTGCTTGGACTTGCATTCCTATCTTGATTGTTATTATTAAATGCTTTGGCTGTTGTACCATTCAACCTTCTGGTAACCTTTGGGGAATTTTGAACCACACCCTGTATTAAATCTATGACGTAGAGTGTTTTTATTCTGTTATTCATGCTGGAGAATAATTTGCCCTTGTGATATCACTTGTCTGTTTCAGTGAACCAAAGTAGACAAGCTTTTTTTTGCACTATTCAACCCCCAGTTTGAACTCACAACTGCCAGGTAACTCAATTTGCTTAACTAACAATTTTATCCACAAAGCCAACTCCAACTGTACAAGTCAACTGACACATGACTTAGTGGATAGGTTTTAGTTGAGTGAATTGAATAAGAAAGAATTAACTGATGCAAGACATCCTTTAACATGGACAGTGAAATGAAAACAATCTACCATCCATCCACCATAGATTGAATAAAGGGTTCAATTCAAAGTTTCCTGGTTATCAACTATGACAGACACCTGAAGAAAGCCAGAGAGTACAATAGCTGAAACATTGTGATGATAAAAACGTTGTACAAATAAGACATGGATTCAAATCATTAGACAACAAATAATTAATAAACCATAACAATATGATAACAAACAGAAAAAAAAAAAAGAGAGAATTAAATAAGAGAAAAGTTGAAAGAAGCGCTAAAATGCACAAAAACTCACTGAAGTACAGTTTGGACCACTTGTTCCATCAGTTGAAGCTTTGGTCGTACAATGAAGATTACCACCTGAGAATTTGTTGCTGGTAAAGACATTTGACGAAGACGATTCATTTTTACCACATCATGTTCCTTTCGAAGAGAAAATAAAGATTACTGAAATAGTCGCCATTGGTGAATTTATGATGAAGTTTGTACATGTTTATATGTTCAGTCATCATGATCAAACAGAAAGTCTCAGGGAAACAGGGTTTGTTTGTTTTGCATAGATAACTGCGGAGGTCCTGCAAGGTTAACAGAAATCATTTGTATGCTATTTGTATCAATTTATAGCAAAATGGACTGAGATAGTCATGAAATAAAAAAACTGTTTTTGATCTTATAAATGGTGGCCTTTATACATTACAGTCAATTACATTATGGAGTTAAATTGGTACATGGTGATAATCTGGTTAGATGATGATAGGATACTTATTACTGACCTTCAACGGTCATTTGGGATTAAAATTTTTTTTTTTTTTTTTATTTTATACAGGCATACAAAAGAATTTAAAGAGTTAAAAATCTGTTTTTCTGTTTTGCTTGTGTAAGTCTGAAAAAATTATTTCAAAAGTAGGATTGATCTCAATTTAAAAAAAAAAAAAAAAATGTATAAAATTGCAGAAATTCCTAGCAGCTCTGGGAGTGAAGCATTTTTGTACCAAAGAATGATGCTATCAAAGGAATAAAATCAAAATGTTGCAAAAGAATTCTAGAGAGGCTGAACTGGACAAATCAAATGACATAGTTCCAGATATCTCTTCAGCTACCTGGTGTTCCTATCCACAGGCTTCAACTAAAACCTACTTTTCAGAAATCTTGAATCTAACATTGTGCATGCAGTTACTCCCATATGTCATGATAGCAACGATTGTAAATGGAGTTGACAATAACTAGTATATGTTCATCTCCAGATTTCTAACAAATGTTCCTTTTGAATTCAAGTAACTTCAACTGACTTGATATATTCTTATAACAACAATACTCTTGCCACTTTAATCAAACTTTGGTGACAAGAGCTGTACTGCATGCAACCAAAACAAACTGGATTCACTTTTTTGTTGGAGCAGTGTTGAATGAATCACTTAATACACTATCATTTTAAGAGTTGTCCAGACTATTGTTGGTCTTACATGTATTATGTTTTGGCTAATTCATTCTACAACCTTCTTTAGGTATACAATTTCAATACAAAGTGAAGTTTCCTCTCTTACCAGTAAAACATCTCAGAAAATGTTAAAAAAAAAAAGTCTGCATGAGTGACATTCCAACAACAATTTTTCCTCTCATTACCATAAAAACACCGATATATGCAACAATATATAAATCCAAAATTTAAAAAATTAATTAGTTTGTCTGATGATCGCAAATAATGTGAAACCCAGGGTCACAAACTCACATCAATCCAATTATATATATATATATATATATATATTAGTAATGGCAAAAAATGTGTTGGTAGATATTCCAAATGGTTCTCAGTAATATAAAATATTAAAACTGAGCCACAAAAAAAGAGTGATATATTTATTAATACAAAGCAATATAATTAATAAACAAATAAATAATGTATTATCAACTCATGGTGTTGATAAGACAGATATCTTCGTCTGCCAAAATAGGCTATTCCCCATATGAGGTAATTAGGAATTTATTTGTTTTTAATTATATATATATATATATATATATATATATATATATATATATATATATTTACATATTTGGTTTGGCTCACAAAATTTTAGTAATGTCTTACAAAAACAAAACAAAACAAAAAAAAAAAGAGTAAATATTAAAATGTTTGGAAAACAATACTAAACTTTGTTAATTGTTTTTATTTAGAAATTATAAATAAAAGCCAATATATTGTTTCCCAGTATTATAGTTCATCATTATTGGTTTTGTGAGTAAAAATTAATGCATAACATTGCCTCAAACAGTTGTTAGAATTTGATACAAGTAGACTGTGTGTGTGTGTGTATATATATATATATATATATATATATATATATGATCCAGCAGCCCACAATACTATCAATACTTGGAATTACAAATGTAGCCTTGTGAAAAGGCAAGTTGAAATATCCAAGGAAAAATTAAACAACTTTAACAGCAAAAAACAGGACATTTATGATGAACTACAGGATATAACTACCCCGGACCAACTGGAGGAAATTACACATAGACTCACGGAAATTACCAATAAATCTGAAGCTCAACACCGAATTAAAATTATAAAAAACTGAATACATTATACAAAAGGTAATATCACTCTTCCTAACAAAACTGATAAATACATTAACCTTTCCAACTATGAACTGTCTATAATTTCTATAATTGGTAACAGAAGCCATTGGTTTATACCAACGGCTTTCCTTATTTCATTCTACAATTCACTCTCGTGTAGTCATGTGTGACGTCATGAGATGCGGTGCGTTTTTCACTTCTAGCGTCTTATATGCGCGTGTTTTATTTATCGTTGTTAGTGATCCACTATGTAAACAATGACAGACTATCATCACTGTCGTGTCCGTATATTGTTTAATATGTTTGTGATTTATATCTTTGATAATGGCTTAAGTAAGCATAATTTATTATTAGATTATATTAAAAATAATGGATAAATAGTGAATTTCTTTCTTCGTTTAATGATAATGTTATCAAACTTATCAGAAGATACGAAAAAATTTTACATAAAATAAATAGACAACACTTGTCTATATTATTTAATGAAAAATATGTATAAATATATATATATATATATATATATATATATATATATATATATATATGTATGTATGTTTTTTGAACAATAAAAATATTGAAAAATTTTTTTTAAAAATCAAATTTTCTGACACTATTTTTGTTTTGTTATTTCAATTAGGTTCCTCAACCAGTTTCGACCAGCTTGGCCATCATCAGGAGAAAAAAAAAAATTCCTGCTTGTTAATAGCAGTGGACTACAGAAATGAATGACTTTCTGAAGAAAACGAACTTTATCTGTAGTTTTCATTTGTTATCGTTAATTTTGGTCAGTCCTTGTGTTGGTCAAACAGCCTCTTACACACACATATATATACATACATACATACATACATACATACATATGAAATAGATGGCTGAAAAGTTAATGGTTGAGCCATTTTCAAAAATCTGATTAAATGATCAAATATATTTTCTTAATCCTGTTTATTGGACATGCTGAGTTTACTTTTCCAATGAATTGGTTTGGTCAGTCATTAAAGTAGGTACCTCCACTAGATCGCTAAAAAAAGAGCATAGCATGATGAAAAAGATGCCAAACTTGACGAAAACAAAATTTTATCATCTAAATTTTTGTTATTATTAAGAGGAAAGGTCAAAGTATTTTTGGGGTATTTTTTTCCATTTATTAATCGTTCCTAGCTCATCCGAAATTTTCGTTAAAAATCTAGTTTTTTTTGAGTCAGCATTTTTCCATTTTAAAAAAAACTGGAAATCTGACTTTGAAATTTTTTAAAATATCAATTATCATTTTTTCAAAACTTATTTTAAGAAAATCAGAAATTATAATGTTTATTTAAAATATTTTGAACCAAACTTAACTTAGCTTTTGTGCCAAAAAGATGTAATTTGAAAATAAAACAAAGCAGGTCATAAACTTTCGTGTCTCTTGACATGTGATGAATGATATATTTACAAATTCCATGAGGCTAATTTGTTCTACGGAAGGAGAAAAGTGAAATAATTTACATTTAAAAAAACAACAAATTATTTACCCTGTTATTTTTTTAAAAAAAACTTTCAGCGGTCTAATTTTTTTTTTTTTTTGTACTTAGCTTTCACCTTTATGTTTATGATGCTTTATGGGAAATATATTGTAAAAGAAATTAAAATAAAACTGTTAAGAGTGACATTAAATTTCATATTTCTTAAGAAAGGTATCTAATTAATTTATAGGTACCTTTCTTATGAAATTTTATCAGAATTGTACATAAAATACTATAATTTTATGTACATTTATTACATTCTACTGTTATTTGTATTCATTTTTTTTATTATTAATTTTGATATTTCATTTATGGAAAAATGTCGTAACTGAGATTAATATAAAAAATAAGATCATATAAATTTCATAAGATGATACTGATACTTGTAGGTACCCTTCTCAGTTGAAATTGAAAAATCAAATTAACTTCTCCACACGTGTTTCGCAAAAAAAGTAAAGGCCTTAACAGCGGAGAACAATGCTTAACTCAAATAACGCAACTTAATTATATTCTGGTTGGTCTTCCGTATTTTATAATTACAGCTCGATTATAAGCACAAAATTACATTTCTTAATTACTGGGGATCTTCTGATTAGTTAAAAAATGATACAATTTACAACGCGCTAAAAAAAAGATCTATCTCATAAGGACACTTATGAAAGCCTGTGCGGCTTTTTAACTAATTTTATAATATTTTAACAACTTAAATGTAAAATCTATTATAATTAATGAAATAACAAATAATTGTATTAAAAATTCAATTTTCATTGAAAAAATTTTTTTGCTTTCAGAAAATATTGTCCATATTCATAAAAACAACTAAAAGCAAATAAAAGCATTTGAAATTAAATAATATCTTTGTTTTATTGAGTTTTGTATGTTACAATTCAGAGCTGATTTTCAGGTACTGCATATCCAATTAAAAACAAAAAAAAACAAAAAAAACATGATTTGCATTTCTCAAAGCCCTGTGCTTTTAATTATTGTAATCACTAAAACCGATGCGATCGAATTTCTAGCGTTTTCATAAAATTAGTTAGGGGGGGGGGGGTAATAAATATTTTAAAAAATATTTCTACCATGACTTTCATAAAAAAAACATATTTATAATAATTTCGATCATCTGTGAATAGTTCCTGAAAGTTTCATTAACATCCGATAATTATTTCTATTTTTGCACGATTTTTCAAATTAATGTGTGTCATACCAAAAAAACGTGCTAAAAAAATTGTCTATGTTATTTACTAGTTCCGCTGATACAAATAGAAACAAGGTTTTTTAATCAAAATTTAGAATGTTCTAAAAAAAGGGAAAATTTTTAAAAAATAAAAAAAAAAAAAACTTTGGTCTTTTCCTCTTAATAATAACATAAGACAATAAAAAATTTTGTTTTTCGGCAAGGTTGGCGTCTTTTTTCATCAAGCTATGCTCTTTTTTTTTTTATTTCGTGGAGGTACCTACATTAAAGACTGTTTACAAAATGTTTTTTTCAGTTACAGCATAACAATATATTAATTTTTTTTTCTTTTTACTAGGTAAAATTGAAATTTTATAATTTTTTTTAATTAGTTGTTTCCATGTCAAGTCTTTTAGGTAGATACCTAAAAAAAAAAAAAAAAAAAAAAAAAGAAGGAAGCAATACATAACAATACCTAAGTTTGAAATAAATTTAATAAATGAAAAATCTTTCTTGCATGTTTATTCTTTTTTAATTCCAGCAAGCCTAATACATTAAATTTAATATTCCCAATAAGCAAAATACTTATTGTATTTTAGACCAAATTTAAATTGATTGGGATCTTTTTTTTTTTTTTTTTTTTGTAAAGGAGTAAAATATATAAATTCATCCATATTGACAGATCTGTGAAACCCAAATAATTCACCTCAAAAATAAAATGTACTTTTCCGAACATTATTTGAAGATTAGTTGATTTAAAGCTTAAGTAATTTGAATTGAAACAAATATTACTTTTAGTTTAAAAAAAAAAAAAAAAAAATTGCAGAAAAGCATCTTTAATACAGAATAGGTGTTTTTATTTATATCCCAGCTTGATGTTTGATAAAAATTGAACATAACTGAAAAAAAAATAATTGAGGAATACAATGTAGAATGGATCAATGACATTTTCAGCCCTGAAGTTCACACGTTACTAAAAAAGCAGTGTCTTCCTATAAAGGCCCTACTCTTCCTCAATAATGCCTCTGGACACCCTCTCAAACTCTACAATGAAATCTTGGAAAATTTTAAATTTATTCAAGTTCTTTACCTACCACTGAACACCACACCTATCTTGCCACCCATGGACCAGCAAGTGATTTCCAATTTTAAGAAATTGTATACCAAGCACCTGTTTCAATGGTGCTTTGATGTTACTGAGGATACAAACCTGGCCCTTCGTAATTTCTGGAATTTAACATTGTGAATTGCCTCAGCATCATTGATGTGGTCTAGCAGGATGTGAAGAGGAGGACCCTGAATTCTGCATAGAGGAAGCTGTGGCTTGAATGCATCTCCAACAAGGAATTTGAGAATTTCACCACAGATGAGGTCCTACTATATAGTAACTATATAGACAATTGAGTTTAAACATGAAACAGATTGTTACCTCTGGGTATTGACTTCAATGTCCACTTTTATATTTACATATGCTTTATCCCCAATATATAGAGCACTTTAACCCATAAATAAAAATTTAACTTAAAAAAATATATATTTTATTTATATATATATATATATATATATATATATATATATATATATAGAGAGAGAGAGAAGAGAGATAAACTTACCTTTAGTAGTGAATACTGGGCTATGAGACCAAAAATAGTCCAGTAAGGCCATCATCCCAAATTAAATCCTACAAAGAAAGATAATATTAACAAAGACAGTCTCTCTTATAGAAACAGATCTAATAATACAATATTTTGTGTGTCTGCCATTTGCCATTTGCTTACAGATGTTTTGAGCAGTAGTTGGCAAGGAGTAAGCTCTCTTTCAACAGCTTATAAAAACATTTTTATCACCCATGAGTGCATTCCATAGATCTTGTAAGTGGGGTTATAGACAACAGGATAGTGTATGTGTAACTGTGGGTGGGTGCCAGATGCAGATGTATTTGATGTGCAGAGCAATGGATAATGGACTAAAAATTGTAATCCTTGTCACTTCTAAATAAATGTTCCCCCAGTCATTAGCAAAAATAAGAAATAATAAGGAGTATAATGATGACAGGCTCAAAAATCAAAATCTTCTGAGATTTTTTGTGATTGGATCCTTTTTCAATAAAAATATGTCAAGGAAGATCCTTATCTATAAAAACGGTGAGACTAAAATACAAAATACATTTAGAAAACAACAGCTGAAAATGTGATAACTTTTTTTTTTTAAGTTTTATTGGGATAAAATATTTTAAGTTAAAAAAAACTATTTCAGAGCAAGACAATGAAACTGATTTTCTTAAATAGGAGTTGATTTTTTTTTTTTTTTTTGTATATAATGAAAATAAAATCTACATATCTACTCTGGATATTACAAAAAAAAACAACAACAAATGTTTCTTAGGTTTTTACATTCCATTGTCCTAAGGCAATGTATCAATTGAGGCCATGTTAATTAATATCAGTAGTAGATTGCTCGGAATAATATTGAACCAGGAAACAGCTGGTAAGAAGATACAAACTAACCAATCTATGCAATCCAACAAATGATGAAAAGAAAAATAAATTTAAATGTTCTACTGTTTGAACGCCACTCAAGGTAACAAGTATCCAACTACAATACAGCACTGTTCATGGGAAGCCAAAACATTTCTTCATGGCTTGATCTCTATACAGCTATAAGGAGTTAGTACGGCATTTTTATGCACCTTAAAAACTAAAGAGATAATCCAATAGAAAGAATATGAACAGATCTTGCATTTTTTTGCTGTAAAAATAATATTGTTATTCATAAACTTAAGTAATTCTTCAATATGCTCCGTTGCAGGTGTCCATCCCCTACACTTAAGAAAGTAAAAAGGAAATACCGAGAAAGAACTGATGAATGACAGGTTTTCTTTTCTTTCATTTTTAAATTGTAATTCATATCTCCGCCCGCTTTTAGTTTTAACAGTCTACTTACTACGAAATATTCTATGAGATTCGCTTAGTAAATTATTGTTGAAGGTCTTCAAGGGGCTTGTTAAATCGTGATCATTATTAGGTCGTATATCAAACGCAAACTTAATAAATCTCGGATATTCTTCCTTTGCTTGTAATGTAAATTATTAACAATGTTTGCTATTTGGTTTGGATTTGGAGGCATCAGCAATTTGTTATTACTGCCGGTGATTTGAAAACATTCATATTTTTTAATTTTTAAAATATGCAATAAATAATAACTTCAGTGATTTTGAAGTTAATGACTTTATTCCCTTACTGTAGTGTAAATGAATTATTATGTCTACAAAAATAAACAAACTAATGTGGAAGTTGAACTTAACCTAAATAACTAAAAAATGTTCGTTTATTTTGGTGGGAGCAAAAAACAAAAACTAAAAAAAAAAAAAAAAAAAATTCAGCTTTTTCAGAGTCATTTTTTACAAACTGTACAGAAACTGTAATAAAAATTACTACTTAAACGAAAATTTTAGAGTTAAAAAATAAAACATTATTGCTCATTGCAATTTAATTACATCAAGATGAATTAATTTTAAAAGTAATAAAACTAAAAAAGTAAAACCTTTTTTGTTGAACAGTATTCCATTAATTTTGTTACTTTTTAAGGAGACATGTCCTAAAATTCACATACACAATTGGCATCCCGATTTCTAATTTGGATTTTTTTGATGGAATATCCTGTTTTGTTTTATAATTCATTTTCTTTCGAGGAGAAAAAAAATCTCGTGACCAAAAAACAAAAATGAATACAACAGTGTTTCTAACTAAAAATTATAAACAAAAAACACGTTTAAAAATTTATACTTTTAAAACTTCTCGTCATAGCTGACAACCTACTAATTATTTGAAATTTATATTTCAACAAGTAAACTAGTGCATCAAATGAAGGGGGTAGCAAAAATTAAAAACAAAGAAAATGTTTTAAAGTTTGTATGTATGTATTATTCATCATAGTGTATACTTTGAGAAGATAAAATGCGACCCCCCATAACTAACTAAAACATAAAAGCAAAAATTATAAAATGTATTTCCTTTAAAACGTGATGGAATAATCATTGCGATCTAAATGCAATTAGTGGGGGTTAAGAAAATAGAAATATTTTGGGATTTATTTCTTATATTCACACCCCCAAGCTAAGTCGCTCATAAAGTCGTACAGCACTGTCCCATTATTCAATTTGAATACGCAATTATATTGAGGTAAAAATCGAAAATATTACAAATTTAAAAGCTACTTGAACTTACCTTTGATCCAGGACATTTATCCAAGCAATCAAGAAATTCCCTACGGTAAGAATCTCGAAGTAAACCTAAATTTACTTTACCAGTTGTTAGATGGGCTGCCATGATTAATCTGAACTGCGGGACTGCCCTTTACTCCTAGTTTCCTCACTTTCTTCTAAATACTGAATTATTTACCTAACAATTTTATGAGAAATTAACAAACTTTTTAGTGTTAAGAAAAGTAAATAAAAAATCATAAAAAGTTTCAATTAAAAAATGTAATCAATATGTTTTTCCTGAAAAGGTTTTTTGACGTAAAAAAGCATGAAACTGTCGTCTGCTACATGAGAAAAATCAACAGGCTTTATTAGAATTATTTCTTGTCCATTTTATAAACTTAAGACTTTATTTATATTTAATTTAAGATTTTCTAAGAAAGAAATATCAACTTTCAAGTTTATTTCTTTCAAAAAGATGTAATATTACAAACGAAATTATAATGTCAAACTTCCGCCCAAGGATACGTAAAAAATATTTAAGAACTTCAAAAAATAGTCTAATGCTGAATTAAATCTTAAACTTGTACGTAATTAAGTTATTCTGTCTATTTATAAGAAGAAATATTCGTTATTTATGTAAAAAAAAATAACAATTTATTGGAGAACTATTTTCTTGCGCGCATGCCTAACACTTGAGGCAAGCAGCAAGAGGTTGTGAAGCCCCCCAACCGGCTGGACGAAGGATGAAAAATGACAGGGGCTGGTAAGTTATGTCGTTTTCTGTCTGAATTTTGACTGTTTTTATCTAATCCAAAACCATTGCTGATTTTCTTAATGAAATTTATTGCTTCTTTCAGAGTCAGAGACGCGGCAGAAATTGTTGCGTGCTGTCAAAAAGGAGGTAAGTTTATTGTTTTCTTATGCTTATTAATATTATTATTACTACTACACACTAATAACCAAGTGTAGTAGCAGCGATAATATTAACAAACATTGTCTAACCCACCCTTCCTCTCTGTTCTATTTTAATTCTGTTTCTTCTGTGACACTATATTCTCATTTATTATGATAATATTGCTTTAGAAAACTTCACCTAACTCTCGTTTTACTTGAACATACGGTTCATAAAAGTCGCCAATTAAAAATCATTTCCTTTTTAAAAAGAAATATTTTATATTCAGTTTTTAAAAAAGAGTGACAAGTGTCATTTTTCAAACTTTAGCTTGTATTACCGAATCATTGATTTTTACTTTTATTTACTTACCTGACTTGCACCTGTAACTCTAGTCATCTTTTGTTGACAATATTTTTTCTTTTTTGACACTTAATACAAAAAGTATACAATACCTGAAAGGAAACATTTAAATAATTTAATTTAATTACCTTTTATTACATGAATTAAAAAATACTGACTTAGCTATCACACAATTCTAGTATTTTTTTAATATTTTTTCACCTTTAAAGGCAAAAGAGTTTTAACGAAATAGAGATTAAAAAGAGTCGACATTTTTTTAGCTGTTTCAACTGATTATTATGTAATTGAAGATTTGTTTTTAGTCTGACACAAGACCATGTGGAGAATAGGATGATTGTATTGTGTCAATATAACTATTTAAAGGAGACGCTACTACTTTGCTTACTTTGAAAAAAAAATGACTTTGACTCGAACACGGTCCTCTGGAAGTGAAATAAATACGCAACGGCATTATCTTCAGTGATGTACTGTCGTACTGACAGTTGTTGTTAAAAATGTTATTTATTATTATAAAAAAATAGTTTGTAACTAGAAAAAGAACATCTCTTTTGTCCTCCAACCAAACGATTTCTAGGACCATTGTTTGAAAAATAATGACATTTCTCTAGCACATGTTTTTTTGGATTCTTTATTTTATTTTTTAAGAATAACGTTCGTTACCACCGTTATTATTATTATTATTTAACCTAACCTAGATGTTTTTAATCAGCTTTCGGACATCCTGAACAAAAACTAAAATCGCATCAGCTTTTCTTTTTTTCTATTTCTTTCTTTTGGTATAAACATAAAAATAACCTTTTTATTAAGTGCATAATGATAAAAAAAAAAAAATGATTATCTTTGACTTTAATCATCCCAAAAAAGCAAAAACGTTCTTTTTTTTTTTTTTTTTTTTTTTTTGTTAATTAAATTTAAATATCTAAGTTTTTTTTATTCTGTTTCCTCTTGTAACCATTTTGATGGGTCTCTTCTGTTTATTGAAACTAATTTCTCCTATTTTTTTCCTATTTATTTTTAAATTTTGATACGAAAGAAAGCAGAAAAAAATCGAAAATAATGGAGTCAAAAGAAACCTGGAAATTCCTACAACCGATTTATTTCACTTTTTCTTATTTACACATCTTTTTACTCTCTTTTTTTTTCTTTTTCTTTAAAAATGCCATCAATATTTGATTGTCAGATGGAAGACATCGTTAGAAAGAAGTAATTTTTTAGTCTGTTATTCTTGATTCTGTCTACAAACCTCTTTTCTGATATTTTAAAAAATTACTTACTGAAAATAAAAGAAAACACATGCACATATAAAAGAAAAAAATGTAACAGAATTTTAACGTTCGCAATTAGCAAAAACGCATTGCAAAAATTTTTTTTTTTTCAGAAAACACGTTTTTATTAATTTTTAGATTTTTGTAATAAATGTAATTTGTGCGTGTGGCGCGAAATGAGTCTATTAGAATTTTTTTTGTTTTTTTTTGTTACTGTTCTGTGATTGTCAGGCAGCACCATATGGAAATGTTTAGAGACCAAACTCCCCCTCCCTTAACTTTGTAATTGTTGGTCATATCAACATCACTTTTCCATTTCTACATACACGCGCGCGCACCATTTCACGATGATAAGCATACGTTTTTTGTTTTTTAGTTTTTTTTTTTTTTTTTTTTTTTTTACTTTAGTTTAGTTTTATTATTCCTTCACTATATTTCCTGGTATTTACAATTCGACTACAAAGCATTGATAACGAATAAGTCAGTGTTTAACACCAGTTTCTGAAATAGGGTCAACGGGCGTTGCTATAGAAACTGAAGTCTGTTGATTACTGATGATTATTAGCAAACTAATATAACATGGGTTTTAGGATCTGGTTGAACAGGAGGAGGAGGAGGAGGGTCATTGCTGTCACCTTCGCTCGATCTCACTCCTACTCACTTGGATGCTTGGTCGTCTTCAAAAACAAATTTCTTTCTTTTACTTTTGATAAATTTTGTATCGCAACACTGTATTGTCATTGTCATTATCATCATAGGTTGAGTTGAGTGTGATTATGAGATGGTTTATTTGTGTGATGGCCTTTCTACATCATCTCCTCTGTTTGCCTAGAGAGTTCTAGAAAACAGCTGTTGGGCGAAAAATGGTCAAGTTGTTCATTTTCAACCAAAGTAAAAAAAAAAGAGAAAAGAGGGGAATACCTCCTCAACCAACTGTTATTAAAGTCTTTCCATACTAGCCATAATTCTAAAAAATCTTTTCATTCCAGCTGTTTTATTTGAACTGATTTGTTTTATATTTATTTATTAAAAACTCAAAATCCATCCTTGTATTTCACGTCAAAGAAATTGTGATTTATTTCCCGAGTTTGAAGATTCTCAACAAGTGTGTATGTGTATATCATTTAAAAACGTAATGTTGAGACGCGCGTGGGTGTGTGGCGAT